GCTGCTGCTCTCCACATGCCAGTGTACACTGAGTGTGATGCATGTGCACACGTTCCCCCGGGGGGGGGGGGGGGGGGGGGGGGGGCTCCAGGTCTCTCACATATGGACGCACTGTTGCAATAATGAGGTTAAGGAATGTAATTGCGCTCGATTGACGGATCAGCGTTGATTAATCAATAATGAAGTGTAGCTTTTGAAGCAACCGCCCCCCCCCCCCCCCCCCCCCCTGCCCCGCCTCGCCCCCCCCCCTCTCAGGAGGTATCGGACAGACTCTTCTGTCTGGCAGTGTAATCCTTCATATGACTCAGTATAATCCAAACAAATTCTCACATTTTAATAAAGACAGGAATTTGTCGTCCAGAGGGCCGAGCCCCGGCCGTCTGCTGGAGGGAACCAGATGAAGGTCACGCGGTTTCCTTCGTGCGCTGTAGAGTCCTTCACTGCCATCAGGGGGCGCTGGTTGCTACGCCGACCTCTGGAAACTTGTCGTTATTTTACGTGTCTCTCTGGAGACTTCTGGAGAAGTTTAATGAACTTACTGGACAAGTCAGTAGAAAGTAAAAAGGTATGAAAGACATCGGCACAGTGTGAATGTGACCCCTGTGACCTTGTCCTTGACCCCAACCCAGATCCCATGACCCATAGACCCCCATACAGAGACCATTAATCTTCCAAAATACCTTCATGCCTATTACATGGGTCCCTCAAGCTTCTCACCAGAGGCCCGCACTGCTAATCCACTTCTTTTTCAGTCAATTCCAATTCACCGTCCCTCGTCCTCGGCGCGTTTCATTTTTTATTTCTTTCAAATACGGAGCCGATGAATGGGATTCGTGAATCATGCGTGACGGCGATCTGACGGCGATCTGACGGATCTCGTCGGTGGCTTCAGATAAAAAAAGGTTCCCTTTTCTCGCTCTGGAGACGATTTGGTTTAATGAAAGAAAGAAAAGGAAAAAGAACAGCAGCTTCGCAGGGATTCAGCCGCTCGTCCAGGAATCTGTAAGACTCAACGAATGTCCACTCTGCTGGACGGGATGTGAAGGGTGTCGCCACAGCAAGCACAGGACATGTGCCACTCGAACACACGTGTGCGTGTGGGGGAGAGAGGGGGGGGAGGCCGAGTGCACGCATACACAAGCACATGTGTGTGCTTTGGATCGGGGGGGCGGTTATTAGGGTGAGAATGAGTGATATGTGCCTGCAGGGGGGGCCGACTGCATCCCCTCAGCGGCGTTCCCATTCGGACGCCTTAGCCCTCCACTCATAAAGCGTAGAGATCTTTTCTACTTAACATTAAAACCCAAACAAACACGTTTACTATGCGCTCCCACGTCCTCCGTTCTGGAGGGGGGGGGGGTTGGGGCGTGTGAAAGGCTGGACCCCGCTCTGGTCGGGGGTTAGGGGGTTAGGGGGTTAGGGGGCTGCTAGGAAAGAAAAGAAGGCGATTAAAAGGACGGAAGAAGAAACAAACACGTGAACACAAAAAAAGTCAAAACCGACCGCTCGACAACTCCAGTTGTTTCCAACGAATCAATCATTCGCTCTTTATCACCGCGCACATTCTCCAAGCTCCTCCGAGTGGAACAGATGCTGGGAGCTGCCGTCACAAAAGGGCTGCTGGTCACAAAAAAAAGAAGCGGGGACGTCAGCTGCTGAACCTTAATCTCAAGTCTCCGTGATGTTCATTCGTTCACTTCGGTCCATTGAGAGTCAAACAGAACTTTTTTTTGGTGTCAAAATTGATCCGAAAACGTTTTATTCAGCAGCTGTTTGTACTCAAGGCTTTAAAACCAACGGGGGGGCGGGGGGGGGGGGGGGGGCGTCGCTGCGTCCTCTTCTTTTAATGTAAATGTTAATTTCATGTGTCGATACGATACTGTGAAACACAGGAAGTGGCTTTAGTGTGTGTGTGTGTGTGTGTGTTTTCTGAGCTCACGCTCAAGCGCACATTTGGGCGCCTCGTTGATTCGTGAATACTTTTCTTTTTCAGTCCCGATGTTTCACCCCAACATCTACGCCCCCCGACATGCCCCCACGGTAGTGGCTACGCGCTCCCTGGGCCGCCAGCCAGCGGCTGGCTTCCATTAGGCACGTGGAGCCGGTCCAGACCACATGGGCCAGAGAGGTAAACACCAGCAGCAGCGCCAGGCGGCGGCGGCGATGTTGACAAAACGTGTTTGCGGGAGAAGAATCCTCTGTTGAGGCTTTTCGGTGACGTCATCATGGCCGACGAGCAGCTTCTGAGGGTTGATAAGTGATTTCACGTTGAAGGACTTGAAGCCCTTAATTAGCTCCTGGCTGGGTGCCGATAAGCAGTCAATGGGGCCCAGAATGTGTGTTTGAAGGATCCAGTCAGGACGTCAAACGGATTCAGCGGCGAACGCCGTTACGACGAGGATCCACCACAGTGAAACCCGGGGAACAGAACTTCTTTTATTCCTCCTGATGATTTAATACTTTCACTTCTCTCTCCGTTCTGTTTGTTCTGATGTGACCCGAGACTTCCCGAACCGCTCCCACATCAGCTCCAAAGGGCCCGACCCACTCATCAGAGACTCAAATACACAACCGCAGAGTTATGTAGGCCACATACCTCAGATCCGTCGCCCTCATCGCTTCCCCCCCGCTTGCCCCGCTTGCGCGTTGGCCTCCAAACCACAAAAACGCGCCGCCGCTGGTTAACGTCACGTGGCCGTTTTGTAGCCTTTGATTCGGCGGAGGCCCCGCGGGTCAAACACGTGGCCCACTGGCTCCAGCAAGCCGGGGGCCACACGTCCAGATCGGACGGACTTAATTGCAGCGGTGACAGCGGCGGGATGGGACAGGAGGCGGCGAGGGGCTCGGATTAGGGACGATCAGCTGAGATGTGTCTGGGAGCCGGGCCAGCGGCACTGGAGGGAGAGTCCGAGCTGGAGAGCAAAATGCTCATTAAGGGTTGTTTGCTTTGGTCTGCTGGTGATTACGGGCCGAGAGTTTTTAAAGAAAACAAACAGCGATAGCAGATCCGATTCCGCCGCTCCACGCTGTGCCAACCTGGATGATTGTCCCATAAGTCAACTGTGAGCCCGGACAGCAAAGGGGGGAAAAAGGGGGGGGGGACAGGAAGACGCACATGGTCGCTCCTCGGGGAGATGGGAGGAGTCGTGAGGACGCAACATCTTTGTTTTGCTAAAGGAATAAATCCAAAGGGAAGTAGTTATTTTCTCATAGAGGTCTATGGGAGCAGAGGCGTCGCCCCCTGGTGGACGATGGAGAGAATGCAGGAGGTTTAACGCCGCTCAGATTTTTGTGTCGGAGCTGAACGGAGCAAAAATCGCCAAAAGCAGACTCATTAATGTTACATTCCACTGAGGCCAAAATGACCCGTTAAAAACGCCGCATTCTGTTCCCCGTAATTTAAACTTTCACTCAATAAACTCTTAAGAAAGGAATCATTTTCTCAACAACTTTTTATTTGCCGTTTCCTTCTAAAATTAATGAGAAGCTTTGCCCGTCCAACATTTTTCTTCCTTACTTTCATTTTCCAAAACCAGAAATGACCGTACGGCAGCGCGCCAACACAAATGGGAGGAAAGAGGAAAAAACATAAACGTTTTTTTGTCTTAATCAGCATTTAAATGACTTACATTACTTATTTTTACTTTTTCTTAGAAAGATATTAAAATCATTAATCATTAATCCGATTTTTTTAAATGGAGGAAATACCTGCTGCTGACCTCATAGATCAAACCTGATTGGTTGGGAGAGACGTCCAAGTATGAGTGAAAAGTCTGAATAATTCATCAGAAATCTTTGAATTATTCAAGAGAAAAACGAGACGAGTGACAGAAAGCAGAAAGAAGAGCGGGTTTCCTCTCCTCCACTCGCCGGGGAAACGGACCGGCTCCGCTTTCACCCCAGACCCCCTCACACAGGAAGCCGAAGGCCGGAAGAAGAGAAGCGAGAGCCGTTTATGAACCTTCCTGATGTGACAAGGTCCTCCAGAGTTCACGCTCTGAGCTACAGGGCCAAAGACAACACACACACACACACACACACACACACACACACCTGGGAAGGGGGGGTCGGAATCGTTATCCCCACCACACTGACTCTGTAGCAGCGAGTCCTCTACGGTGACGACTCATCAACGGGATGTGAATCCTGATGCATCTCTGAGGGGACCAGAGGACTCGAGCAGGCGACTCCTCTGGTCCCGTAGACGTGATGACAAAATGACGTCTCTCTCGATTTATTCTCTCAGTAAACATTGTAAACATGAGTTTATGGTCTCACTCTCTGGTTTAAAGTCTTCTTTAATACAGCATGGTGTTCATTTAGTAGATTTAGGGTAGTAGATTTGATCTAATCCATAAAAATATATCATTAATTCTTAATCATTTGTATCCTGTGTTTTTAGGAAGAGTCAATATTAAAGACAAAGGAAACCTTTAGAATGTCTGATGGTTCGCTGAGTGGTTGGAACCATCAGTATCTTCAGTATATTGTGGATCCTTGTGGACCGGCTGCTCAGCATCAACGATCATCGGATCGCCGTAGAAACCCGACCAGGGAGCTAAACGTCCTCTCTGCGTTGCTCCTGATCCGTGACCCACTGGGTGGGACTGGTGCTCCAGACCATCCACAGCCCTCTGAGGGGGGTGAATGGATAATGGGACCAACAGGCCGAAGAGTTTTAGTTACCAACAAAAAGATCATGAGCGCCATCTAGCGGAGGAGGGAGAGAAACTAAAACACTTTGAGGTTTTTCAGCTGCCTTCAAAGAATAAAGAAGTTGATGAAAGATCATTTCCACATGTTGTAAAATTAAACATTACAATTAGTAGTTTTAACAAACTTTTTTCTGTTAGGACCATCTTACTTTTTATTAGTTTGGTGAGTTTTGTACTAAAACTGTTCTCTATTCAATGGAATTTGAATCTAATAAAAAAATATGAAACATCTCTGATCTCTCCTAGAAGTTTGAACCATTTACCATCACAGACCAAGACGACACATTAACAAAAAGCCTTATTTATTGTTTAATAACACGAAGGAGACCATCCAGAGTCACTGACGTAAACGTCTATAATAGACTTCTGCTGATCAGCGATGATAAAGAGAAGTTTATAAAAAGGAACATAGCAGGTGGGAGGGAATGTGCCAACCTACAGGAGCTCGCCACTAGAGGGCGCCGCTGACAGAGTGAAGTGTTTCAGGCCTCACCTCCGCCCTCCTGTTTCTCCACGAGCTTCACCCTCAAGAGTCCCTACGGTCCGTTACGGCTCCGGCATCGAAACGCCGAGCTCCTCCACCCCACCCCCATCTCAACCCCCCCCACCCTGTCACTCCCGGTCTCAGTCCACTGTGACGCCCTCGGGCAGCTCCACCACCACCGGCTCACACTCGTCCAGGTCCGCCTCAAAGTCCCAGCGGAACTTCTTGGTCAGGTGAGCTTTGAACTTCTCCGCCCTCTTGCGAAGAGTCCCGTCAACGCCGGGAGCCTCCGCGGACTGGAAGAAGTCCTGGGGGGGGGAACCAATAATTATATATATATACACATATAATAATAATAATAATAATAATAATAAGACGACAATGCGTCAAATCATGACAGGATTTCTGGATCATTCTTCGGAACAACAACTGTTGTGATCTCTGAGAGCTTTGAGGTCTCTCGCCCTCCCACCTGCAGCGTGGAGGTGAGGAAGTTGCTCTGAGACACGATGTCCACGAAGAAGTCGGGGGGGATTTCCCCCAGCTGGTGGTAGAGCACGCCGATGAGCCCCAGGTAGAGCTCCCTGTGCTCCCTCATGGCCGCCTCCGAGCGGCACAGCAGCGCCAGGAGGCTCTTCCAGTGCTCGAAGCACTCGTAGACGTTTCCGATCAGGAAGCACACGAAGGCGAACTGCAGCTCGCCTGAGACCAGAGGAGACAGGATGTAGTGCGTTTCATGCGCGGAACGGAGCGGCCGGCTGGCGGCGGCGGCGGCGCCGCCCGGCACCTACCCAGCAGGTTGAGCGGCTGCAGCTGGTGGTGCCTCTGCAGCACCGTCTCCAGGGCGTAGCTCTGGTCCAGGCTGCACTGGGTGACCTCGGCCGGCGTCGCGCCGGGCGGGTACTTCTTCTCGGGGATGACGGAGAAGCGCATCTCCGTCCCCTCCCTGGGCTTCATCCTGGGGAGCCGGTCCAGCCCCTCCCTCATGCTCTGGCACGCCGAGTCGTTCCTGGGCTGCTCCGCCCGGTCCTTGGTGTGCCGGAGCTGCAGCTCGGGGACCACGTCGCTGAAGGCGCACACCCGACCCGAGAGGGGCTGCAGGCCGCTCGCCACCTCCTCGCTGAGCCGGTCGGTGAGGGACACCCACTTCCTCATCACCTCGTACGGGTAGGGACCCAGGTGGGGGTCCAGGTCTCGCAGGTTCGCCCTGATGCGGCTCACCTCCTCCTCGTTCTGGGAGGCGGAGAAGTCCAGGTCCTCCTCCTTGGGGTCCCAGTTGGCCAGCAGCACGTCTCTGGGCTTGAGGCTGAGGAAGAGGCCCGTCTTGGGGCCCACCTCCCCGCCGCAGCCGGGGGAGTTGACGGAGCAGTAGTGGAGGAAGTGGAGGCCCGGCGGGATCATCTTCACGCCCTTGAAGCGGGGACCGACCTGCCAGCTCTTGCAGTCGATCCCCAGCTCCGTGCCCTGCGGGACCCCCAGCAGCACCAGGGTGGCCCCCTCCTCGAACAGCCTCCGGGCCACATCCGGGTCCATGTCCACGCTGCCGCTGCCGGCGGCCATGTCTCCTGATTCAGAGACAAAAACGGCCGTTAACGCTGCTTTTAAACGCGCGTAGAACGGACGCGGTGAGAAAACAAAAGGGAACTAAACTATTTATTACAAAGTTTGAAGCGACATCCGGCTGAAATGTGTTAGAATTGCGGCGTTATTTGCATTGTTTTTTTTTTTACCGCGGCCGTACCTTGTGTAACGCTGGGCGGTTGTTGACGTTTCGCGTCGTCCGGAAGTGGTTTGGCCCGCGCTGTGCAGCGTGTCTGCGGCTCCGGGTGGAAACAGTTCCGCATTAGTAATCTGTAGTTCCTCTTCCATAGCAATAAAAGCCGATGCTTTTTATTTTTAAATATACTGTCATTTGCTCCTATTATTTTTATTACTTTCATTTTTTCGTTTATTATACTTGGTTGTTTTGCAGTGATTATGCGAATGTATTTGTTTAAGAACTATAAAAAAGCATCTATAGCACACAACACTATACTAGTGAAAATACAATAATAAAAAATAATGTTAATACCATTAACAAAATGATAAAATATTTTATCATTACTTCTCCAATAATATAATAACCGTATAGAACTACCTTTAACATTATCAATGTAACTATGTCAGTACTGGGACGTACAAGTAGCAATCAGACATTTGAGAAAAGTTTATTATATGGCATATGCTTCAAAATATCGAAGACAGAAGAACATGCGTATGAAGACCTACATATGTTTTACAGAGACAAAAACAATTGGTAAAACAAGAGAGACTTTGATAACCGTGCATATTCGGAGAGTATTTCAACGCCTTGAGGATATCTTTAGCTTATCTGTGGTTAACTGTTAAAATGAGGCGCAAGGTCGACATGCAGTCTGCTAGAGATTTAACACAGAACACAGAGAACTAGACCACGGTAAACATCCAAGATCCGTGGGAATTCATTAGAGAATGGAGAAGGCAGCATGAGGCAGGAAAACATTTTCTACTTTGAGAGCATAAAGACACTATGAAGTTTCTGCCAACAGGTGATCAAGGCCTCCATAACTCTGATTAACCGGGTCCGCCTCCTCCTCTTTCCTTGTGTTTTCTGGACGGCTGAACAAGAGACTTTCTTCCCCTGAAAGAGACCAAGATGCAGTGCACTTAATCATTGTGTCAGTTTACAAAGGGGGGTGGGAGGGGGGGAGATAAACACAAATGAGTCGAGCTCTCGACACTCTCCTCACCAGATACTCCGGGCTGCAGTTGTGGACAATGAGCCGCTCCATGCTGGCCAGCGGCTTCTGCAGCGCCGACGCCTTCTTGCCGCTCCGCTGACACTTCATCTGCTGCGTCATTCCATAGATGGAAACCAGGATGCGACGGGCCTGCAGCCCACAACACCAGAAGAAACCAGCTTTATTATGAGATTATGAAAGCAAAGTGAGACGCAGTCTTTGCACAGATCAGTCCTGAGAACCTTCAACTGTGTGGTCGGCCATGGTTGTCTGGAGCAGCAGCATCTCCACAGCGTCAAGTAGCCCGAAAAATATGTGCTATATAAACTTAGTTTTATTGCGTGTATGTAGGATTTCTTTGTGTGTGTATAATATGTCCTCGAGTTAATGTGAGTTCTTGTTTTGCTGTCTCTGTGTGCACTTTACTGCTTGTTGCTGAATGTGAATCCCCCGAGGGACTGAAGAAGGATCATCTCACCCTGTCCATGGTGCTGAAAGTGCACACGGGGGACATTTACCTTTCCAGAGGGACAAGCGTCTCTCACTTTGGAGGCGTTGAAAGGGCCAGTCAAATTCTGTAGAAAATGATTTTTAAAAAGGAGCGGAAAAATGATGGATAGTTGAAAAGATTTATGAAGGGACGACAGGTGGAAAACAATAAAACAGCTTCTCGAAGTCACATCACTCTCACGCTGAAACGGACTAACAAACTCACACTATGTCGTACAATTCAAAGAAAGTCACCTCTTATGTTGAGAACAATATCAACAAGTTACTTTTTTTCCTAAACAGAATGTTTGAGTACAGATCATTTAAAAAAAAAGAAAACGTTTGCACAAAATTTAAAAAGGAGTGAATGTCTAAATGAATCTTTGGGCGAAGGCCTCCTACCAGGTTCTGCAGCTCCACGAAGATGACCTGTCTGTAGGAGCCCAGGATCTCTTTGTAGTTACATCGACGTTTCGCGCACGCGTCGGCCAACAGGAGAACCGCCAGGACACGACGCAGCAGAGTTCCGCTCAGACGCTAGAAACGACAGAGAGCAGTTCCAGCACCGCGCGCAGAGGAGACGCTTTAACGTCGCGCGCTGCGCCGCGCGTCCGAACCCAAAAACCAAAGCGCGGCGGTGCGTAAGTGCGCGCTCACCATTTAGCACGAAATGCGGCAGGATGTGTTCAGAAGAGCGGAGCCATCTCGGTGCGAGGCAGCGGGATCCCGGGCACGTTTCCTTACTCTTCCCCGGGCGGGTAGCTGCACGCGACGAGGTGCTCGGCGGGCTCCAGCATCACCAAAGTCCTGAGTAAAAACCAGCCGCTGCTCCGGTGCGCGTCCCCGTCATGGATCGGTGGACGCCGCGTTTTGGGTTTCACCAAACTCCGAGCGGAAGGCCAGCTTGCAGCAATCAATCACTCCCCCGTTTGCTTTCGGTTTCGCCGCGCAGACAGAGGGGGGGGAGGGGGGGGGGGGGGGTACAGTCGGGTTCATCCAAAGCACCATGTGGGTACATTTGGTAGGCGGTAGGATTAAAAATGGATGTTGGTGGAGCCCCTCCAGAAAGCCCATAATACAATGATCCGGACTGGACCGGACCGGACCGGACCCCCAACCACCCCCCCAAAACAGGTAGAGCTACAGGAACCTCCACACAAAGAATACACACATTTTTCTTTTCTTTTTTTTTAATAAAGAGACTTGTTTGGTGGAAACAGACAATTGTGCAACGGACCTTGTTTCTTTGTTTATTGGATGCCAGTAAAAGTAATTTAACACATTAAACTACTGAGCTACATAGAAAAGGCCGATCAGTACTACGACATGAGACCTCATGCAAGTTTTTTTATGTACAACTTCTGAAAACAAACCTAAGAAAGAAAGAAAGAAAATGATGCGTTGGAAACAAACAGCTGATCCTCTCCGGAGTTCACTCCAAACTGTAAAAGGTGGATTTTGTTCCTTTTATCACCAAATTCACAAATACTCAAATTAAAAATGTTGACACTAAATCAGCAGAAAAATGAATCAATGTCAGAGTGAAAACAAATCAGGGCCATCGTTTGAATTTAAACCAAATAACGGATCACTTTGAAACGCCTTTGCTACGTCACCACAGCGCCACCTCTGCTCCACCCATTATTAGGCCGATGTCAGTAAACGAGAGTTGCCGAGATGCTCAGCATGGACGAGCACCAAAGACGTCGTGGGGCTTCATGCAACGTGCGACTGAGCGCACCTCTAAACGTACGTCGTCACTGATTGATCGGAGAAAACAGAAAAGGTGTCAAACACACACACAAAAAAAAAAAAATCCACCTTCACGGGCAGCGAGGGCCTCTCGCTGCTCTGGTCTCAGTTTAGAGGTGTGTCTTCCCACTCAAAACTGCTGCAATCATTGAGTCCGTAAATCAACATTTCGCCTCCAGACGAAGTCGGCCAGGTTGATTTACAGATTCACGAATCAATGAGGTGTTTCTCTCGAGTTATTTGGGAAGCCATTCACACAACCCCCCCGTTGTCCGGGTGATTCCCCGGGTGCAGCTCGACGCCAGAAGAGCACGCGGCTCATGTAACACGTGAGCGAGTGTTTGCCGGAAGGTGGTCTCAGGAAACCTTGATGAAACAAGAGTCCTCGGAGGAGGAAACAGAGCTGCAGGGGTCATCGGGGGCCGAGGAAGTCGCCTCCACACAAAAGGAATCGGGATTATGAAAAACATGAATTGTGACATTTGCAGAAAATAAGCTCAGTTGTCACACAGGTTTGTGGTATTTAGACGTTTTGTGCTTCCAGATGATCTTCAGATGTAGACGAGGCCGTGAGTTCGGTCAAATCTTTGCAGAAACATGAAAGACATTAAAATTCAGCAGAGGAGGTCTTACTGCCCTACAGTCTTACTGTAGCTGCACACCAGTGGTTTGGGTGAAAATCAGCTGCTTTGTTTTCACGGTGACACTGAACCGTCTCTGCTGACGCTTCAGACTGTGATGCTCTTCAGAGGAAAAACAGACCTGGAGACGGCGGAACGGGACGTGCGAGACACTGTCTCACAGCTCCAGGTCCTCCAGGTGTTTTCAGTCCAACCTGCCCCCCCCCTCCCCTCGATCTTTAGAAGGTGTTCTTGATCTTGCCGGCCACCCCCGCTAATATCTCCCCCGTCTTCTTCTGCCAATTCAGGACGTGTTTGGACTCGGCGCACCACAGCTCGCCGTGGCGAGGCTCCGCGTTCTCGCAGCGCTTTCGCACCTCCTCCTGCTGCTCCTGGTGGGGCGAAAAAACACGGACATGGTTAGTGCATCCACACCAGTGTTCATTTTGGCAGCTATTTTTGATTTAGTCTTTAGACGAAAAAGGAGTATTAGTTTTAGTCACATTTAGTCATTTTAATCCTTCTTAGTTTTAGTCTAGTTTTCGTCAGACTAAAATGTAATTAGTTTTAAACTCCTTTTCTTCCCTTTCAGGCCCAGGGCCCCCTGTGTTGTGTCTATAACTGCATAACAGTCTAGCTTGCAGTACTTGGTGGTCCATTAGATGTCCCTCCTAGGACAGGTCTATAGATGTCCCTCCTAGGACAGGTCTATAGATGTCCCTCCTAGGACAGGTCTATAGATGTCCCTCCTAGGACAGGTCTATAGATGTCCCTCATAGGACAGGTCTATAGATGTCCCTCATAGGACAGGTCTATAGCAGATCGGTAAACATCTTGACTTTTTGGCCACAGTGGGTTGTAAAACGTGACGGAGGAGCCGGGCCAAGAACAAATGGTTGAAGTGTTTGTGTGAGCGAATATAAATGACATGTGAAAAATCATTATATGATTTTAACAAATAGCAAAGCATTTATTTGCAAGGCAATTTAACAAATTGGCAAAGGTGTAACAAGTTCATGAGGACCAGGGATCTAAACGCAACACTTTGTTGTCTTTGTCTGTTTACTTGCAATGCTTTTGACACTTGATGGTCCTTGATTGTTTCCACTGTCCCAACTAAAGAGACCTTAACGTCCTACAATCGCTGCAATACATTATTTACATTTACAATACATTGCCGGTCTGTTGTCTGTTACAAAGTATCGTGACTTCGTCAACCACCAACAAGTTCGTCTCGTCAACAAAAGTGAGATTTAGTCATAGTTTTTATTTTTTAAGATCGTTTTCGTCACGTCTTAGTCATGGAAACATTTTCGTCATAGTTTTCGTCGACGAAATTAACACTGATCCACACACACGCGTGTGTTGACCTATAAACATGACAATGTGTTTTAGTTCACAGTTCCCTTTACTTCCTTATCATTGGTATTGTGTGTTTTGTGGAGGAGAACCGCATGTAGAGTTTCTGATGGTTTGAATAGTTTTTTTGATCTGTTGCAGCAGCAGCAGCTCTTAACGAGGCTCGACTGTTCGATCGGAGCGTCTTACCTCGGTGCCGTGCTGCTGCTCAAACTTGTAGAAGAGCGCCCAGGCGTCTCCGAGGTCCGGCTCGATCTTCACCGTGCGCAGGAACCACTCTCTGGCTTTGGTGATCTTACGCTCGCTCCAGAACAACCTGCCGCGTGCGAAAAACACAAGAGGAATAAGCAACAACATTAGGTCATCCCTGAGGGGGCAGCGCATTCTCAAGGATGGCGTCGTACTTGGCCACGGCGAGCAAGACGTGGGGGTCGTGTTCACACTTCTTCAGAGCGTCCACGCTCTTGGTCTTCCTCTGGGGCCGCGCCTCCAAAAACACCGCCTCCGCCCACAGGATGCCTAGCAGGAAGGAGACTCTTTAGACCGTGGACACGTTCAGGGGGTGGGGGGGGTCGTTGTGGAAGACCATCGCTTTTTAAGCGCTCACCTGAATTGGGGCACTCCTGCAGGGCTTTGGCCATCAGCGTGTTGGCGATGTTCTTCAGTCCCGCACGGAACTCCAGCCTGACCGACTCCAACCTGGTGGACGGGATCATTTCACACTTATTTTACATCGTCTTAAAACTTGGGAGGGACTTTGACAGGAAGGGCGGGGCTCGGCGAGGGGGCGCGGCCGTCACTCTCACCACAGATCGGGGCTCTGGGGGTTCTTGAGTCGAGCCTTCTCCAGGATGGCTCTGGCCCTGGTCAGCTGTCCCACGCGCTCCTCCAGGCGGGACAGCAGCAACCACAGGCCGCTGGAGTGGGGACACTTCTTCAACTGCGGCAACAAAAAGGGACACTTTCATCAAAGACACCTGGACTAACGGGTCTTTAGAGTCCCCCGTGGAGACGGACGCTCACCCCTTGGTTGTAGGCCTCCCGGGCCTTGTCCATGTTCTCACACTGCTCTTCTATCTGGCCTCTCATCATCCAGAGTTTGGGGAAGTCCTCGTAGTGTTTCAGAGCCTCGGTGCACAGCTCCTGGGCTGCTTCGATGTTGCCCAGCACCCACTCCAACTTCACAGACTTCATAAACACCTGGAGAAGAAGAAGAGACAGGAGCCTTTTAAGTCCCCCTGCGCTCCTCGTATTCAAACACACGATTACACAACGCAAATACCGGACCGGCATTCACACGTCTGCATGACAAGACCTCCAACGGCCTGAGCGCTGCCTCAGAGCCGCCGAGCGGAGTTCTTATCGCTCAGGACCATCGGGGTCTGAGTCACGTCTGTCGGATGGTACAACAGCGATGATAAGCGGGAGCGCCGCCAGGTCCCCCGACAGAGCGATCGCTTACAGCAGAATGCCGACAGGCCCCGACCTGAGAGGACGGCTCCCCGCTGTTAAACACAGTAAACACGTTTCACCAAGACAGCTCGACAACGCGCGCCGCAGCTCCGGCGTCGAGGAGATTAAGGTGTCTGCAAAGAAAAGGAGGTCGCAGGAGGACACCAGAGTGTTTAATACTTCCCCAATTTTCCTCGGGGGGGGGGGGGGGAGATCAACACGGCAGAAGACGTTTATTTGATTATTCGATCGGTGTTACAATCCAAAAATCGATTGATGAAACATGGTTTTGTTAAACCAGCAGACATGGGGAAAATTGTTACTCATCTAGCTGATATGTAAAGTGTCCCCACTTACACAATTCCCAAGAAATTATAACACGAGTATATGTTGGACAATACAAACCATTTTCCCCTCAACATCTGTATCCTAGCGAGGTCCCTTCCTTAATATTACTGTAGGAGTCATACATTGGGTGTGATTATTTCTCCTTTCCTTCCACATTGTTGGTATGTGCACGTGTGGTGTGACGTCATTTGCATCTACGACACCATAAGGGTGTGTGGTGTGTGTATATTAGCGTGTGTCTGTTCACCTGTGGGGCTGGGCGGGTTGTTTGGAGCGTGGCTGCAGGGTGAACATGGGGAACAAACCATCTTTTGACCGTCGCCGTCATCGTCACAGTCACTGGAGTAATTATTGTCACTACGAAGTTTTATGCACTGTTTGCTCCTCTCTTGACCGATGAGAGGCATCTATCAAGTAAGTGATTGGCGTGTATTCTTTATGCTGGTTAAACGGAGTAATAAACATGATGATAAAATACACTCCTCATGTCTTAGCCTGCCGCGGCTTTTGGATAGTTTTTTTTGTGTATAAGCCGCTATAAGTTCAACTAAATGCTGGTTTCCAACAATCACCATCAAAATAACCCAGTTCTGCCTCCTCACTCTGCTGGTTCTGAACGGGTTTCGGGTCTCTCACTCACCCTCGCTGTCGGGGCGCTGCTGCGGGCCTTTGCCAGCAGGCGACGGGCTCTTTCATACTCGTTATTCTCAGACTCCAGCTTGACAGCAGCCAGCCAGATCTCCTCACTGTTCGGGTTAGCCTACGGGGGAGGGGGGGGGGGGAGAAGAGCGTGAGAAACAGAGGCTGGTACGTTGACAATCAAAGGCTGAATCGTCGTCGCCGTCGTCACCTGGAAGGCGAGAGCCAGGATGCTTCTGGCGGCGGGCACGTCCTCGGCCAGCCACTTGGACTTGGCCCCCATCAGCCACAGGACCTCCGCTTTGGGACAGTGAGCCACGGCCCTCTGGAGGAGGGCCTCCAACGACTCCCTGAGAGACGGAAGCAGCGCGTGGGACCGTTAGAAGACGCAAGCAGAGTGTTACCAGCTGATGGCTGGAGGGCGAATCCGGACCCCCTCAGCTCGGGGAGCCGGCGGCTCACCTGGTGCCGTTGTTCTTCTCAAAGTAGGCGGCTCTGAGCCAGACGCTTTTTTTACTGGGGAACACCTGCAGAGCGTGAGCGTAGATGGCCCGGGCGCACTCCAGCGCGCCGTGGGACACGCACTGCAAACACAAAGGACAACTGCTCAGTTATTGATGAGCGGGGAACGACAGCGGTCCTACGGGATTATTTAGCTCCTCTATCAGAGCAGGTGCACGGTGCAGGTTGTTAAACGGCGCTTCTAAAAGCCGACGTGAACAACAGACAGCGTTTGGCGAGACCGAAGGACCCCTTTGGGCGTCGCAGTGGAAATAAAGCGCGGCTCACGCTGTCTGAATCCTCCATCCACGTGTGTTTGCAATCCTCCTCCTCGATGCCGATGCCGATCACGGCCCTGATCACGGCCTGGCAGGTCGCCACGCTGCCCGCTTTGTCACACTCCTCTGCGTCCTGCAAAGACCAGAACGAAGCGTTTAGGAACAGACCCTGAGGACTTGCAGTGCATAGATGATCAGATAGATTTCAGAGGTCTGCGGATGGTGTTGTGGTGAGTGTACGCCTTGATGAACCCGCTACATTAAAGTAGCACCAGGAGAGGAAACGGTAATGGGGGGGGGGGGCAGAGGTCCGTGACTGCAAAACAACTGCAAACTGCAGAAAAAAACTGAGCGTCAGGCGCGGCGCTGGCTCGCGTTCTGTAGCACTCACAAGAAATAGCTGAGTGAAGCATTTTCCAAAATGTGCTGGCTTTCTATCAAACACGTGACGCATTCTGCACTCCGCCAACAACAACGTTAGAAAGGACGTGCATTCGGATCGGTCGGTGCTTTATTGAAGATCAACGGTTGCTCTTGATTTCAACTACAGGATTCACCCCAACTTTCATCCACATTACCGATGTCAGTTGCAGCATAAAGCATCTGTTAAAATGTCTCCATCGGAGGCCTTGTTACTGAAGTGACGCTTTGGATCTAGAGACGCAATCAAAGAGCTGAATGAAGAGGAATCTCGTGGGAATGTGGATCTTTCAGGTCAATTTGAGGAGTGTTTCTGATTCGCAGGTTCCACGTACTACCCAAAGCGTGGAGCTCGGACTGCTTCGATCCCGTCTTCACAAAATCTCGGTCCACCTTCAGCTCAGGCAGCAGGAAACCAGCCTCCCCCGTTCTCTCCTTCTGGGAAACCCACCTGTATCCACTGCTCTCTGTTGATCTCCACTCCGTTGGCGCGTAGAGAGGTGATGGCCCTGTCGATGATCTTGTCCACCATCTGAGTGTTGAGGTTGGCCTCCTCCAGCTTGGCGGCAGTGATCCAGATGTGGCGATCGGTGGGGATGTTTTCTCGGGCCTTGTTGAGGACGCGCCGGGCGTTCTCGTACGTCTCCAACCGGGCCAGCGCCAGCCACAGCTGCAGAGAGCGGAGACAGATCGGATGCAGACAAAGCTGCAACGGTGGCGGTATTTATTTTTTGGGGGGTGGGGGTGGCAGCCGGACGTACCTCCACGCTCGTAGGGCAGCACTCCACGGCTCTGCTGAGCATGATCCTGGCGTCCTCCGGCTCCTCCAGCTCCACGGCCGTCTTCCACAGCCGAACCGACTTGGACACGTTCTCCAGGGCTAGAAGGGGGTCACATTACACGGGGGTCACACTTCGCTGACACCAGGTGGCTCCTAAAGATGGTAACATGGGGAACCTACTCTAAAAAAACACAAACCAGCCCAATTTTAAAGAATGAGGAATATATGCGAGTCCGTATTGTCACCTCATATTATCCAGAGATATATGTTCAATAAAAAAAAACAATTGACTCGTGTCATTGAAAACACACATTCTAAATGCATTCAGGGCCATTCTCTCCAATTCACCCCACCAGCTAAACGATATCAATTTAGTTTGTGAGCAGGAAAGACAAATGGATTTTGCCCGTAGAAACTAAACACCAAACAGCATTTCCTGCAACAGCAGCTCAGAAAGTGTGGGAAGTGTAACAGAGAGAAGTAGAGCAACGGCCACTAAACATGTAGAGGCGGAGAGAGCTCGTCCACAGAGGAAGCTCCACATCCATCTCTGTCAGCGGGGTATGCTGCTGGGAAAGAGGGTGCGCGTTTGTGTGTACGCATGTCGGGGCATCGACACCATGGTTCAGGGCGTCTGGCCTTGACGAGAAGCCAGAACCCCAGCTGCAGAATGTTACGCTTCATTAAATCTCCTATGCGATCACAAGCTTGCTTTTAAGAGGCCGTGGAAGGGAAGGGGGTGTTCCTCTTGGCGGGGGAATCGTTACGTATTCTTTCACGTATGCTGAGGAGGCAAAAAGCACTCTGACATTGCAGCATATATATATATATATAAATGTGTATTTGTGACATTATCTGCGAGCCCCACCCTTCCTGAGGACTCGTTTCTTGGCCCTCATGTCCGTCTCCAGCTCCGCAGCTCTGATGTAGATGCGGACGGACTGCGGCAGGTGGCGGACGGCCTGGGCGACCACGGCTTTGGCCGTGTCGCCGGGCTGAAGCCGGGCCGCCTCCAGCCACACGTCCTCACTCTGGAGGGGCAAAAGAGAAAAGGGCGGAGTTATCAAATGTATTCTATATTCTTTATGTTTAATGGATATATGTCTCTAAAGTTGATGCAATGCGGTTGCCACAGTCACCCATAGGTTCTAAAACATTAACTTCCCATTCAAGGATTAATAAAGTAAGTCTCTCAGACCAACTCCGTATCCATCCGCCTTCCCTGCCAACCCAAAAGATGAAACATCCTCGTCCACCATCCTTTACCTTAGGACACATCTCGGTGCCTTTCATGATCAGGTTCCTGGCCACCTGCAGTTTGCCGGTCACCTCCTCCAGCCTGGCGGAGGCAATCCAGGCCGGCGGGTGATGAGGGTTGGTTTCCCGCACAGATTTCAGCAGCAGACGAGCCTTCTTGATGTCACTGAGAAAGCAAAAGGTGCACCATCAGACACGCAGCTCATTGACACAAAACACACCCTGTGAAGGACCAAAGTCACCAGCGTGTCTCTACCTGATGTCTCCGCCATGCGTGGGGATCATGGAGTTGAGATCCGTCAAGTAACCTTTGGGGTCCACCACCGTCTGTCCGCTCACGGAATCAGACACCTGAAGGTCGATTAAAAGGCCGAAAACAAGATGAGAGAAATGACTCCGGTGTCCCTACATGGAGAGTACGAGCCACCGAGCGCGGGCGAAGGGCGGCCGTGGGTTACCTGGCTGAGCCTCATATCCATGAGTGTGTTCCTGGCCTGACCGATCTTCCTCATGTCCAGCTCTCCGGTCCCCGGCGTCATGCTCCCAGGGTACGGCGTGCTCAGACCTCCCAGCTAGTGGAGAGAAGACAAAGATATTACGACATGATGAGAAGGCTCATGAAACATGGGATCATATAGGACTTTTCTGAGCAGCGTCGAGTCGGAACAAGACTCTCAAAACGCTGCAGGACTGAAATATGCCGTGCACTGAATCCATGGTAATAACTGATTATAACCACTGATCACCGTTTAAGAGAGAAACTACGGTAACGTTTAATGCGGCTTTTTTTTGTGATCAAATTTTTTGTGATTTTCAGATATGCATTAAAAACCAACCATCCATTATCATCAATATACATACACATATAGACACATACCCATACGTAGATATGCACACACACACATATATGCACAAACATACCCTCATATACACACATGCATACACCGACATACATTCACATCCACTTCAATAAAATACGGACAGAATAGTAAAGCATTTTTTAAATGATGGATTCTTGAACTATGGCCAAAACCTTTTTGCGTAACAGATTTAGTGAGAAAGTCTCCCCCGGTGCCAACTAGATGTTTGTGCCAAATTTGTAAGAAATTGGGTGAAATTATCTGAGTCAACCAAAGTTTGTTACTTCTAAGCACCTTTTTCAAATTCCTGCTTAGTTCCATTATTTATTGAACACACTGCAATAAATGTTCACGCTGTGCACAGATTACATGACTACACAAAGAGAATCCAGTGAGGAATCGTGGCTCCTGCAGGCGCACGCTGGAACTACACCTTGTGTTTTCAGCGACGTGTGGTCCGTGTTGATGTCTACACTATGCAGATGTGTGATGTCACATTTGCGTGCATACTGACCCCTTGCAGAGGGTCAACGCTGGTGTGGTTCTCTCCGGTCTGCAGGTGTTTGGAGAAGAAGCTGTCGGGGACGGGAGTGAGTTTCTCATGGCGGGGATTTCTCTGCCGCTTATTCCTGGCATCTCCCACCTCGGGGATGCTCAGCCACTCCTCCTCTGACACCTCTGACAACTTTCTCTGTGAAGGGATGGAAAATAAGGATAACATATGAATGAAATAAAACACAGATAGAAAAATCTTAAGCTTAAAGGAATGCATGGGACATGGAACTAAAAGCTGGACAGATATGAGTGAAGATAAAACAAAACAGTTTGATGGATCAACTTGGAATGGTAGAACAGTATACAAGATGCGTGTAAAGGCTTACTTGTAGAATTCTATTTAAAAACAAGTCACATGGTGTCGCCACACAGGTTTGGCCTCTATTTTTCATGCAATATGGTACCTTTAGATCTGAAAACTGTTGCTGGATTTTGGGTCGCTCCATACGGTATTTCTCGATTTCCTCCTTTTCTCTCAGCTCCCTGAAAACAAACCAAACATTCAAAACCGCATTCGCATGCAGAATGAAGAAAGTTGGATATCACACAGACAAGACTCAGGTGGGAAAAAGACTCATTTATTATTGACCTTCTTTCTTTGCGCCTTTCATCCATCCTCTTGTCCAGTGCTGCGTATATTGCATCTGCTTCCTCGTCATCTTTCTCGTAGGGCCCACTGGAGAACAAGCTTCCTGCATATCCATTAAACTAGAGGGAAAAACACCAAATGATGTCATTAGAATGAACACATTATCATAAAGACTGGGTTATGTTCTGGTTAATGGATAAAGTCCTTGCAAACAGCCCAACAATGAATATCAACATCAAAGTAAAGCCAAAAACATGATAACCACCTCGTCATAATTTGTGTCGTTCAGATCTTCCTCTTCGTCCTCCTGGTTCTTTTTCATCTGGTCCCCAACCGTCCTTTTCCCTGGCGGCGCATGTCGGTCATCCACTGGATCGTTGGCATCTCGAGCCGGACCGATATCAGACCGGGTGGTGAAACCAGTGGCACTGAGGAGGAGAAATTCATTTCAGCTTGACTGACATAAACTTGTGATAAGTATTCACTGGGATTTTCCTCTATCCACACAACCAGGATGAAGGACACTTGAGAAGTTTATACTTTATACATTGAACAATTTTTTTAATCGTTGGCTATTAAACCAACAAGATACTTTTAACATTAGCTATGTGACAAACATAAGTTCACTTTACACAAGAAATTCTGTGTCAAAAAGAAATAGAATTTACTAATTGAAATGCCTGCTATTTTTAAAATTAGTTAATTGTGACACTACAGGAGAATAACGTGTCAATGCCACCATTGTTGATAAGATGATTATTTATATAGCAGATTTTACACGGATTGCGTAATTAGCTAAAAGAGTACAGAATCAGAATAGAATACATAGAGAATCTTCCCTTTCATGTCAAATAAATGTAGTGATAAAAGTAATGGAAATGAGTTATGCAATTAGCACTTAATAAAACAAAACAGAAAATTAAGTGATGAATAAAAGCTGGAAAAAATTTTAAATTGAGAAGAAATAAATGAATCCATAAAGGATCAGATGTTAGCGAGCCAATATCTTCGTTCAACTATTTAGTTAACATCCGGTAATAGTAAATAAAATGATGCGATGTCTTCTTACTTCAACTCAGATGACAAACCAGTCGTATTAAAACGTAAAGGCCTTAAGTTGGACCCACAAACTTCATCTATCCGGCTTCCTCTAGCTACTGGCTAGGTTCCCTTAGCTTACTGGCTAGCTTCCCCTAGCTACTGGCTAGGTTCCCTTAGCTTACTGGCTAGCTTCCCCTAGCTACTGGCTTGGTTCCCTTAGCTTACTGGCTAGCTTCCCCTAGCTACTGGCTAGGTTCCCTTAGCTTACTGGCTAGCTTCACTTAGCTTACTGGCTAGCTGCGAAGCTACTGGCTAGCTTCCCTTAGCTTACTGGCTAGCTGCGAAGCTACTGGCTAGCTTCCCTTAGCTTACTGGCTAGCTGCGAAGCTACTGTTAGCGCGCTAGCTAAGCGTGTTAGCTTACCCTCTGCCCAGACCGGGAACGTAGCCCAGCGGAGCGGGCATCCCCAGAAACGGCTTCTTCTTCTTCCCCATCAGCGGAGAGGCGATGGGGATTATCGGGGGCCCGCCGCCAGCCCCCGCCGCCCCTGCGCCTCCCGCGGACGACTTGGAGACCAGTTTAGGTCCTTGTTTTATCCCCGTGCTGGCCATCTTTTCGTTTCTCCGACGACGAGGAGGCCAAACTGCCGGATAAACAACAGTCGCACTTCCGCTGGCGGCAAGCGGTGACCCCTCCGCGTCACTTTGCGTCACGACGCGTCACCACACGTCACCACACGTCACCACGCGTCTGTTGGTGCTGGTAACAGCGCCCCCCGCAGGACAGGCGGGCGTTTGTTTACGTCGCCTTCTCTCAGAATGTTCTTGTCGATCTAAATCGTCGATGTGACCCGTAAAAGGGGCCCGTTTCACACACCTCACGCTGCAATGGTGTTATTATCCCACTTCCATAGGATAGTTATCATGTTTGTAAAAACATTAGTTTTCCAGGGAAGCCACATGGAGGCGCCACATCCTGACAAATAAAATGCCTTTTAAACTGTTGCAATCAATCATATCAGAAGTAGGCCATGGATTAGTATTCCTAATGAGCCTTTTTCCTGTGAATTATTTGAAGTGCTTTCCCCGAATTAACATCATGATGTATTTGTACAAGCTACTGCCAGAAAGTTGATCTTTATTGTTTGATTGGCATACTTTAAAAAAAAATGTTTTTATCTTATATTTATGGTACTTGTACATTTAAATTGTCCAATGTTCTTTTTGTGCCAATATCGAAGGTGCATACAATAGGCTTGGTAATTATAATGTTTAAATACTAATGAGCACAATATCCTCTTTGTGCATTTTACCAGACTGTTTAATTTCCTCCCTCGAGAGAGTGTCATTAAAGGACCTGTGACCCCAATCATAGCACACGTGAAACAGCTGCCATTTGTTTGAATAAACAATCGAGCCCTGAAGGTCGCATGTAGCCCAACTGGACCTTCACATTCATCTTAATGTCAGGGCTTTCACAGGGCCATTGCATTCAAAAGGGATTATTATTCTCCCGTAGCAGTGTGTTGTAACTGAAGCAGTAAGATCATCAATAAAACACGAGTAGACTTCAGGCCATTGCCTTAAAGCCATACATGAAGTGGTTATAGAGTAAATCTGACAGACATGTTTATGTGCCACAATGAGAACTCCGCTTGCATTATGTGTGAACAGCATTCATGCAGCCTGCATCAATGGTGATTACATTCTAACAGGACGCTTCTGGGTTTCATCCCTCGAGAGAGAGAGAGAGAGGCCATCAATTAGTCAGATTCACGTTTTCACCTCACCCATCCTCTGACTGCTCCTCGGCCCAGGCTTTTACATCATTTCCTCATTTACATCAGCTGGAGGGCAGACATTATTTCTCTCCTGGGAGAAGAACGCCATGATTGAAATGGGCCGTCGGATGCATCAGAAGACGTACAGCTCCCACGGCCGAAGACCGGTTTTAACACGCGGCGCTACTCAAGCGTTGATTGCACTCACTTTCCTGTGATTGTTTTCATTCAACTTGAATCATCTGTGCGCTGTCGTCCAGCTTCATACGCAGCTTTAACTCTCTACAAACGGTCCGTGCAATCAGGGAGAGGCAGCAAAACAAACCACGGACGACGACGCGTCTGTGGCCTACGGATGAGTGATCCAGGTCGGTCTCGTCCCTGGTTAATAAATCATTAGCGATCCTGACCCGCGTTAACGCGCTGAAAACCCTTCACATTCTGGTCCGAGCGCTGTTTAATTTATACGAGTGGGGGGGTTCATTCAGCCCTGCTGCGCGGGAAGCACACTGTGCACAACCGGCTAAAAGAGGAGTGCTGACAACTTGTGTTTGAGTAACAAAAGTGTTTCCTCATCCACCACACACACACACACACACACACACGTAGACAAACACACGGTCAAATCTGCATTTGTGGAGGCCGTGGCAGCAGAAGAAGCGTCGTGGAGGAATATCTGTTTCAAATAATCCAAAAGATTGAATCATATTCGTTCCCTTTCAAGGGAAGACGTCATATTTTTCGGGGGGGCAAAGGCTTCTGGAAAACAGAACATACCCCCCCTCCCCCCAAAAGAAACATCTCGTTGTAGTTGAACTGCATCGCAAACAGAATCGTGACGCAGAGGAGTGAAAGGGGTTGATGGCATTGACGAAGATGAAGAGTTGTTTGCATGGACACACACACACACACACACGTTTTCATATACATTTTCTTCCTAACATAAAAGCAAGTGATCTTAATAGACACGAGGCTTATGATCGGCAGCTTGTTTGAAGATTATTAATATGCTGTAGGCAAAAAAATATAATTTCCTCGCCCAAGAGTCAGCCATTAGTGCGGTTTGTCTGCGATTTAATAGCTAAGCCTATTTTCTATTTATTCTTTTAACAAAGACTAATCACTTCATTTGGATGGAATTGTGTTTTGGAAGACAGATACTCACAAAGTAATATCTCTGATTTTGCGAATAACACTTCAATTTGGGGAGGCGAACTGCTGTGTGAGAAGAAAAGTGATTGCGGCATTAAATGATGAGCTACAAACAAGGGAAATTCTCTCCAGTATAGAATCATCTGCATGCCTCTGAGTCTTTATGCATTGGTGTGTGTGTGTGTGTGTGTGTGTGTGTGTGTGTGGTGGTTTGCACGGATGCACGACTCGGTTTAATCTTTTTATTCAGTGCACACAGGAGGACGGAGGCGAGGACCACTGGACTCTCCGTCCTATCTGTCGCTGCAGATGTCCACAGTGGCGAATGTCGTAGGTGGAGCTGCACGCACGCAGAGGCAGTCGGTGGAATAAAGAGATACCGCGACTTAAAATAAAAACGACACAATCAGGCAAATAACACCGTGTTTGAGCTGCATGGGGAGGATGCGTGGAGACGTGAGGGTCTACTTTCAGCCAAACACACACCTGCTCGCACAAAGAAACAGGGACACATCACTCGTGATGCCCGAGCCGCATTGTGAGTTAATTTTAGCTCATTACTTTCAACAATACAACGTGGGAAAGGCGCGGGGGAGGAGGGGGGGGGGCAGCAAAACACGACATGGACATCATCGTTTTTCACTATTACACACACGTTAAACTCGATTACCGTCTCTTGTTTGAAAGCAGCTGTACGTGCACAGAGCCCGGTCTGGTGGGCAGGACGGCCTCGGGAGGATTAATGGTTTATTTGGCTCTTATTACCGAGGGTGTGGGATCGAGAAACAAAGGCAAAGTGTCCTTGAGAAAGGACAGCGCTAATTTGCCATGGCGGGCCTTCCTTCAGGGATAGCCCGAGCTAGCTAAGTCCTGGCATCACATGCTCCAGATGGAACGACCATTGAGCTCTGAATGAGGACGCGCCGCTAATTAGGCCGGGATCCCATGTCTCCGTCCAAAGGAGGGAGAGGCGGTGGATTTGGTGTTGGGAATGCTCACCCGCCGGGGGACAAATCACGCCGGAAGCGATCCGACGGAGCGGTCCGCCGTGCAGAAAAACACCAAAAGATGACCGCCCCCCCCTTCCGCCCCTGCCGGGTTCACCTTGAGTGTGAGGGAGAAGACGTTCAGGCAGCAGCAGTTAAACTCACTCGGTCTTCTCACTTCGCTGCCTTGTTACGTTTCTGAAAGGAATGAGCTTTCCATATTTTCCACATTTAAAGTCATGGCGTGAAAGAGACACGTGCTTAGTATGAAGCTTGGAGCAACATCCCTGGAGACTTGACACAAAGACATCTTCTTTTTAACATGTACTGTATATGAAGAGGTGACTGTGTCGTCTTCTTGTCTTTGCCCGGATGCAATGTGTAGCTTTTATATTTGTCTACACATGTTCACGTTTTCAGTGCCTTCAAAGAATTGTTCCCTCGTGTCAAAACAGAATTTGTGAGGATGATTCACAACTCGAGAGACTGCTAGAGTCATATTTTATGTATTGAGACGCAGTAAAACTCGTAGTGTGGCAGAATTGCTAAAGGTTTCTGTGGTATGTGTGTTTTTTAATTTGAAGGAGCAGTGCAAACTCATAAATACATAATAACTGGAATAATTATAATGTGCCAAGAGGCTGGTCTTCATCTGTTGTCCCCGGCCAAGGTTTTTATAAAAAGGGCTTCAAACAGAAAAAAACGTGTCTTTCAGTTTAAACGTTGGAAAAGGACGTTTACACATGTGGCACCTATTTGGAGGCCTTGAATTCTGCGTTTCGTCCATTACTGTAGAGACAGTTCTCCCTCACAATCTCGTTTGCTGCCATCATGGAACTGGCTGCCATCTTGGTTTTTGGTCAAATATGTGTTTTTCCCATCGTTGCCATTTTGGTGTTTGGCCATCACCATTAGGGAGTGTTTGTTCCTCCGGGAGACTCTTTCAGGCAAACAGAATGTTGTATGCAAGCATGGACAACGGCTAAAGCGTCTCCTGCTTCATGGTCTGTTTGACTCTAAATGGAAATCACTGACTAAATGAGCATCACGCTGTACTGAAGAAGAGTTAAAACCATAAACTCATGTTTACAGTGTTTACAGAGGGAATGAATCCAGATAGAAGTAGAATCATTTTCTCATAGACTTTGTATACAATCAGAGGATCTTCTAGGTGAACAGGACAACGTTGCCATTTTTCATGTGATACATTTGTATAATTTAGGGTATAAAATAGTGCACTTTGGTATTATTCATAAGACCTAATCATTGTTGATCGTGATCTACTTGTAAAGGAAAATAAATGGGCCTGAATCCACACGTATGTACACGTGTGTGTGTGTGCATGTGTGTGTGTGTGTGTCACGGCTCAGCTTCGCTGTGGTCATTTGCATAACAGCGAGGTCACCATCGGGGAGTGAGTGGAATTCCAATTGCCTCCTTTTCCGCTTCCTCCACATATGTGCACACGTAAATACACACACACACACACACACACACACACACACACACACACACAGCGAGGGTGCCGATCCGGAGAAAAGCGTTGATGTTCAGGGAGGGGCGAAGGGAATGTATCTCTCAAATAGGTTGTGTCATTTGATCATTTATTCATTTTTAACTCCACATCCGCCGGCTTTTTTTCCGTTGAGGCCTCGCAGAATGAGGGGGAAAAAACCTCCGAGGTTTCCCCGAT